TGGGATCTCCATTGTTCTTACCCTTTTTATAAATGGGGACATAGGGGCTCCAAAGGGGAAGTGTCCGGGAATGCAAGGGTGACAAAAGCCGGGGCTGATTCAAGCCAGGTACCCTGCATCGCATGGGCCCCTGATGTCCCGTCAGAGCCCACCCAAGAGTGTGGGAAGAGGAGCCTTCACCTGGGCCCATGATTCCCAGGCTGGCGCCGGCAGGGCGAAGTGGAGGTAGGAGTGGAGCGGGCAGAGCGGGGCGGGAGGAGGGCATGGGGGCAGCGGGGCTGTTGCTCCCTGCGCGGTTGGGAGCTGTCTGGCCTGTTTCTAGCATGCAAATAGGGTGACGGGCAAAACTCCTGGAGTTCTGGGACAGAGACGTCCACCCAGCTTTCTGCACGTGGTGGGCACCTGAGGCATGACGGCCCCCACGTGACTGATTATTAATATCGCCCCTAAGTGTTTGGGCTGAAAGGATGACACCATTGACCTCTGGGATACAGTCAAACCTCAGTGCCTCCTGCCCACCAGTTCCGGGAGGCAGGCAGTGGAGGGGGTGGGGAACGCAGTCATTTTAACCAGCGCTGTACGGGGCAGCCCTGTGTCTCCAAGAAAAGACTTCCAGCCTCAACCTCATCCCTCATCCCTTCGATCTTTTCCCGCTCCAGCTCCGAGAGACCAAGGCGAGGGGGAAGCCAGGACATGCACTTGCCGCCCAGGAGTGGGCCACAAGTCGGGACATGAGCTCATACTGGAACGCAGCGCCCTGCCTCCTGGTCTGGTCAGAGCCACTCCGAAGGGGAGACCAAAGCCCCCTGCCTCACCTTGGGCACCGCCCTCTTCCAAGATAGGCGCCGAGGTCACCACCTGGACAAAACCCAGAGCTCCGCCACCCACTTGCCACCTCCCCTGCCACCTCCCCTGCCAGAGGGCAGGAAGGAGCAGCGGGGCCCTCCCAGAGACACCCCAGTGGGCTAGGCTGCCCCAAACCTGCCTCCCACACCACCGCCGACAGGAAGCCCTCCCAGCCCAAACCTCTCCTCCCTCAACTCACAGCTGGACCTGGGGACCAGGGGACAGGCTCCCTGCCAAGGAGCCGGGAGGGTATGTGTGCAGGGGAAAGGGGAGGCGCTGCCCGATCTCTCTCGGTTCCCGTAGCCCCCTCGTTCTGCCCCTCGGTGAATCCCGTCCCCACCCGGAGCCTGCTTCCAGGTCACGAAAACAGGAAAAACGGAGTAAGGGCTGCGGAAAGGGACTGGAATTAGACCCGGGGAGGAGGCAGGGGTAGGGGCCACCGGCGGTGACCTCTCAAGGTCCCTCTCTGTCGCCGCCGGCCCCTCCCCCCGCCCGCAGGTGGGCGCGCCCTGCCCGGTGACGTCACCCCAACCTGAGGCCGGCGGGGGAGGGGCCGGCAAGGATAAGAGTGAGGTTGGGGGGCGAGAAGCAGGGGTCAGGGGGCGGGTGGAGGCATGAGGGTCGCGAGGCAGAGGCGGGAGCGGGGGCCCGCGCAGGGGCCACTCACCCAGGACGCGACCCGGAGCAGGGTCTGGGGCCGCCGCGCAAAGCTCACGGGGTCCAGGGCGGCCCCTGCGCGGCCCGCGCCGAAGGAGGCGCCCTCCATGGCCGGCCCGGGCGGGATGCGCGCCCCCGGCGCTCTCTGTCCGCCTGTCCGTCCGTCCAGCCCCACCCGAGGCCGCTGCCGCTGATGCTGATGCTGATGCTACCGACGCTGCAGCCGTCACCGCCTCCCGGGAGCGCGCGCCGGCCGCGACGGGGGCGCGCGTGACGGGGCGGGGCCGAGCCCGCGCCCCTCACTGGGTCCACGCGCGCGGGGCCAGGGCCCTCTTCTCCCTCCGCCGCGCCCACCTCCCATCCCCCACCCTCACCTGCCTGCCCCGATCTTGAGATCGAGACCATCCTCAGGAACCTGCCAGCCAGGTCCCCGGGGTAAGGGGGCAAGGGCGCTGGGCGCAGACTTCGCCATAGCCGGGAGGACAGACAGGAGAAGGAAACCGCTCCTCTGCGAAGGGCCCTTGGGTGAGGAAATGAAGGAGTAGGAGGTCCACGGGCTCCAGCATCTTCCCCCAACCCTCGGGAGGGGACTGGCTCCCTGACCCTGGTCCCAGGAAGACCAGATGGGCAACTGGGGTCTTTCCCATGCCCCCCCCCCCAGTGCTCTAGCTGGTCCTGCAGCAGGTTCTAGCCTCGGGCTGGGAGAGTCTGGTGGGAAGAAAGGCCTCCACCTCAGGAGCACCTGTTGAGGGAGGAGGAGGGCCACCGTGGCCAGCGCCGATGAGAGTGTTGGTTTTGGTGTCCCTGCTTCTTGCCCTTGGCCAGGTGCTGGCGCTCCCAATGCCCTTCCTACTCCTGGGTCTCCCTAGCGCACTTGCAGCACCTACTCTGAGATCGAGGGCAGGGAGAGGTGTCAGAGACCAGCAGTTGGGTGAGGCTGGTGCCTGGCTGCCCTGTGCCCTGCTGGGTCCCCTCCAGACCCCAGCCCTGGGTGCAACACATCCCTCCCCTCATGTTCCTGCCGGGCTGGAAGTTCAGATGACTCCTAGGTTTCTGTCTAGAGCATTGAGACGTCTCCACCGACTGAGCATTTACAACACCAAGAGTGTCACCTGTAGAGGCAGAGTGTGTTACCACCCTGTTCTTTAGACAGGTAAATAACCCAGCTGCCTGCTACAACCACCTGGTGTACAGACGGTGCTGCCTTGCCCAGCTCCCCTGGAGCCCATTGGTTCTGGTCTGGAGCTCTTTCTTCAGTCTAGCTGGGCACAGTTGGGCGGAGCAGGTGTTGCCAGAGGCGCCACTCACTGGATTTCAAATCCATCATACTGTGTGTCTGATCCCGATCCGTCTCACCCATTGGCCCCAGGCCTCCCCTCTGTCATTCATTTTCCTCTTTTACTTCATCACTTACGTCAGCACCCAGACATGCTACATTTTCTCCTGAAAAGCCAAACACTATTGACCTCACCTCCCCTCCAGCTGCCCGCGGTTACTGCTCCGTTGAGCAGCAAGCTTGAGTTTTCTATCTTCTGTCTGCACCACCCCTCCTCTCTGTCCCTCTGAGACCCGGCAGAATCAGCTCCCACAGCCACCTAAACTCAAGGTTGCCACTGATCTCTCCATGCCAATCTCAAGGGCAAGTCTGATGCTGCTGTCAGCTCAATTTTTTTTTTTTAGACAGAGTTGCACTATCGCCGAGGCTGGAGTGCAGTGGGTCAATCTTAGCTCGCTGCACAACCTTTGCCTCAGAGGCTCAAGTGATGCTTCTGCCTCAGCCTCTGGAGTAGTTGGGATTACAGGCATGCCACCATGCCTGGCTAATTTTTAAAATATTTTTAGTTTTGGTTTTGCCAGGCTGTGCTCTAACTCCTGACCTTAAGTGATCTGCCCACCTTGGCTTCCCAAAGTGTTGGGATTACAGATGTGAGCCACTGCACCCCACCTGGGGATCCTCCTCCCTCCTGGTGCTCCTCCTTCCTCATGGGCCCCTCCTCTGTGACCTGTGAGCCTTAGGAGCCCAGGGCTTGATTCTGGTGGCGAGGGGAGAAGGTCTCTCCTTCCTCTGTGTTGGCTCTTTTGGTCTGTGTGTCAATAGCTCTGGAACACTAGCTTGAGCTAGAACCTTTCCTCGAACTTCAGTTCCACTGGCCTGGATGCCCTCAACAGCCTCTGAGTCAAAGTGAAGAGTTTTATTTGGGAGTGAAACTTTAAGAAAGACAGGGAAGGCCGGGCGCAGTGGCTCAAGCCTGTAATCCCAGCACTTTGGGAGGCCGAGGCGGGTGGATCACGAGGTCAAGAGATCGAGACCATCCTGGTCAACATGGTGAAACCCTGTCTCTACTAAAAATACAAAAAATTAGCTGGGCATGGTGACGCGTGCCTGTAATCCCAGCGACTCAGGAGGCTGAGGCAGGAGATTTGCCTGAACCCAGGAGGCGGAGGTTGCGGTGAGCCGAGATCACGCCATTGCACTCCAGCCTGGGTAACAAGAGCAAAACTCCGTCTCAAAAAAAAAAAAAAAAAGAAAGACAGGGAAAAAGGAAAGTAAGGCAGCTAGGAAGGACAGCAGATACAGGCAGTGCGTTCCTGAGCTGACCACAGCCTCACCAGAGGACCCGGCTGGTTCCTGAGGCACTCATAGGCCTCAAAAAAGGCCAGAGAGAAGCACTGAGTCTGGGCCAGGAAGGGGCACCTTCTCTCCTGGCCAACCCCCATCTCCCCTCTCTCATTTGTGCCACCTGGCCCCCCAGGCAGCCTCTACAGAAGCCAGCAGCCCCACAGGACCAATCTGGTGGGGGATATGGCAGCTCCCTCCACACAGGCCTCAGGATAGAGGTCCCTGGAGCTTTATGGCCACAGGAGATACTTGCTGGGCTGCTCTGGCTGGGGAGGCCCAAAGGCTGGTCCCAGTCACCTCCTACTCGCTGCACTCATAGCCTTTTCTGTCCCCGACACACACAGCAGCGCCCAGCAGTCTCTGAGGACTCCATCCTCACCTCAGGGTTCTCAGACTCTCCCCTCAGTGTACCCCACATCGGCCCCCAGCATGAGGGTGAGTCTCCTCTCTGGGGTCACTCAGTGATTGCTCCAGCTTCCTTGCCAGCCCCCCATGCTCCACCTTTACCTGCCTCATCCTAGCTCAGCAGCCAGAGGACCCTTGAAAGCCACATCACTTCCTGGCATACCCTGGCTCCAAACCTGCCAAGAACCTACAGTCACAAGAGCTGGGGGTAAAAGCCGTGGCCTTTCTGGGGCCTGGGAGGCCTCATGCTGTCTGGCCTCTCTGTACTCCTCGAACCCCCATATCGGCTACTCTGGCCCCCCTTCACCAACCTATCAGCGTCCTTGCTGTTCCCAGCCCTCTCTCACCTTGGGATTTCCCTCTCCTCCTGAGGAACCAGGACCCCAGCAGGAAATGCAGCTGAGCACAGGAGGACAGAGCAGGCCCCGTGCACTGCTATAGGCCGTAGCACAAAGCACACGAAGCCAAGGTCCTCAGTCACTTCAATGTTTTATTTGGACCTCAAACTCTGAAGAAGTGGGCAGCACAAATCCCCTGTGGACAGGCATGGCACAATGAGTGGGCAGGATGGTGGACCCTCAGACAAACCCCACCTGAGCTTTCCTGTAGGGACTGAGCAGAGTGGAGAGTTCAGCCCATGAAGTGAGCAGCTCAGAGCCATGGGGGGCAGGGGCCCTGCAGGCATCCCTGGCTGCACAGTGGGAAGGCAATGGCCCAGGCTCCAGGGACAGGCACAGGGTCGCTCAGCCAGGCCCAGTCTTCCTGAGGAGCGAGGCACCAGGGCATGGGGTGAGCAGGAAGCCATGTCCTGAATGGCAAGGGGCAGCCCAGGCTCCTCCGGCCTCCCTCACCTGCAGTTCAGCTGCTGCTCCTTGGGGGCTCCACTGAGGAGGAGGCCAGCAGGTGCCTGCTGTGGGTGCCTCTCTGTTCCAAACCTGAGAGGGGCAGGGCCCCTAGGCCCTGGGACCACTCAACAGAGACACAACAGGCTCTGGACCTGATGCACTTTAACGAGTGCCCTGCCCCTATCCAACCAGGCTACTGCAAGGGCCCTGGCTGGCTGTCCCATGGGCTCTGGCTGACCAGCCTCTAGTCACAGGAGCCATCCTTCCAGCCGTCACGCCAGCGCTCATCCACTTTTGAGCAGTCAAAGTCAGGCTTGCCCAGCTTGCGGTTCACCTCATTGTGCAGGTGGCACAGCCACTGCGTGAAGCATGCCCGGGTGCGGGTGTCTGGCTGGTTCCTGCACAGCCTGTGTAGGGAGAGCATGTGAAGAATGGGAGGATGCAGCGGCTCCACTGTCCCTGCCAGCTCTGTCTGCTCTCAAGGACGGAGAGCTGGACCACTGTGCACTTCACCTCGGAGTGCCCTCATGCTCCAAGGGATGGGAATTCCCACAACAGGCCTGACCCTGCAGTTCCCTGGGTGTGGCGAACTCCCAGGGCTGCTGAAACACCGACAGGGCCTCAAAGAAAAATATTACAGCACAGACCTAGCAATTTTACAAGCTCCTAACACCGAGGAGGCGGCATCTAGTGTCCCTGGCCCCAGGCAGAGTGTGGACTGGGTGAGGCTGGGCACAGCCTTGTAACTGAAAACTGGATTTGATTCTTAGCACCTGAGGCTCTGATGCCTCAGTCAGCAAGAGACTTCATTCCTACTGCCCAGGCTGAAAGCAACAGTGGCAGCTCTGCCCCACACATCTGGGCTAGAAACACCTGCAAGGGCCAGTTCTGGCTCTTGGATGCCTCAGTGAGGAAGAGGTGGCTCTTGGGAGCAAAAGTAGTGAGTTTCCAAGATTTTAAAAACAGCAGTCCAGAAGTCAGGCAAAGTGGAGTCCTCCCTAACTTGCAGGGAGCTGCCTTTGGTGCCAAACAAGGCAGGGAAGCCCGTCCTGGGAGACCTGTGGCTGTGGGAGAGCAGTTCCCAGCAGCAAATCCCGGCAGCTTGGCCTCTGAGACAAGAGGAGGAGACTCAGATAGCCCCAGTCCTCACCTGTTGGTGGCCCCTGCTCCTCAGCAAGCTTCTGCCACCTCTGCACGTTTCTCTAGGTTCCCCGATATAACGTCATGTCAGGAGCCCCTGGCCCAGGCTCCAGTGCAAAGCTCTGATGCCTGCCAACACATCTTACCTTTTCCTTAGGTCTTCAGCACACTCCTCACAGGGATAAAACTTGGAAAATAAATGTATGAACTGGGCCATGTCTTGCTGCTGTTCTGGGGTGGGCAGGTCCGGGTAGTAGGCGGCCAGGGTGTGGAGGACAGCCCAGCTGTGGCGGCCCAGTTCCTCGCGATCCGGCGGGCAGTCCTCCCTAAATTTGCTGTCCCGCTGCGGAAGGCCGACCGAGAGTGAGTTCATTCTCCGAACAGAAGCGCCCAAAGCTCCCCCCTTACACGCCCAGCCGGTGGCCCAGTGGACTCCGGCCAGAGTCCTGCAGACGATCCAGCCCAAACGCGGATGAAGGCTGTAAGGCCGGACCTATCTGGGGGACAAGGTTCAGGGAAAGGCAACCCTGGGGAGCTCCGCAGGGGCACCTGGGCGGGGGCGGGGACTGCGCGGGGTCCGGGGAGGTCGGGCAGGGATCTGCACCTTCTGCTGCGTCCGCATCCACGTCTTGAAGTCCACGCAGGCCCGGCACGGCCGCCTCCGGGAGACGTCCTCGGCGACCTGAGAATCGGAGGTTGGCGCCTGGGCTGACCTCTCAGCCGCGTCTCTCCGCCCCGCTCCCCGGCCCCGTGCGTCGGTCGCCAGGTCGTCCATCACTTCGGAGCGCGCGCCACCGGGCAAGAAGAAATGCCCGCTATAGAAGCGGCCCCGCTCGCCGGGCGCCGCCATGTTGCCCGCGCAAGGTCTGCCGGGCTAGCTCGGCCTCCAGATGAACCTCCAGGTCGGCCTCCAGGCCAGCGCGCGAAAATACGAGCCGGAGGCGCGCGCCGTGCTCGCCGGGGCCGGGGGCGGAGTCGGGAGCGGGGGCCGGCCAGCGGGCCCGGGTGGAGGCGGAGCCACAGGCCGCGGCGCTGGCCTGGGAGGGGACGGAGGTGGAGGATCCGGCCGCTCCGCGACCCGCGCCGGGTTTGCGCAGTCCGTGGCGGCGCTCTCGCCTCCTCCGGTAGAACAGCAGAGTGTGGCGGAAGATGCGCCGCGGCCATGCTGTGGACCTGGGCTGAGGCCCAGGCGAAGTCCGTGTCGCGGCCCGCGACGCCTCCATCCCTCTGCTCTGAGCGTCCTGCGTGCCCGCGGCCACGCTCTGAGCCCTCCGCTGAGGGGCGCGTCCACCCGCCGGGTGCTGGGAGCCCTGGCAACGCGGGGACGGCATGACCGCACAGAGTACGGCGCGCGCTAGGGCCCTGGGCTCTCGGCCCCGCCCCGGCGCCATGGCAACGGGCACCTGGCAACGCGGGGCAGGGCGCGGCTGCCGAGAGTTTGAGAGAGCCTCGCTCTCCGCGCGCCCCCGGCTGCCACCGATCCTACGGCCTGGATGAGGGGTCGGGGTCCCAGTTGGAGCGACCTCTGGGATTCCTCTGCCTCCTTGTGTTCATTCATCCATTCCGCTATTATTTGTGCAGTGGCCGCTCTGCTTCAAGCGCCGTTCCAGGTGCTGGGCAGAGCGGGGAACACGGCTCTGCTGCCTGACCTCCTCTGTTCATAATTCAATGGTCAAGACGTGAAAAACAAAACAAAAACGAGTCACGCTCATGAATGTTCCCGTACAAACTGGTGGGGCCGTGCAAGGGTGGGGTAAATCTGGAAGGCCTCCTTGAGGAGGTGATCCTTGGGCAGAGGCCTGAAGGATGAGGAATCAGCTGAGGAGCGCCTTTGAGACCAAGCTCAAGTTGGCAGGGTCTTAGCGTTTTGCAGGAACAAAAAGGCCAGTGGTCCCATCAAGTACCTGGTCAGCAGCTGTGGGGATTGGGAATTTATTCTAAGGGTAGGTGGAAGATGCCAGTCAGTTTTGGGCAAGGCTACCCAATCTGATCCCATTTCAGTTTGCTGCAAAGATTCCTCTGGCTATCATATGGAGAGTGGATTTCTTTTGATTTCTTTCTTTCTTATGGGGAGTGAATTTTTCTCTTTTCTTTTCCTTCCTTCCCTTCCCCCTCCCCTCCCCTTCTCTCTTTCTTTCCCCTTCCTTTCTTCTTTCTCTTTTCTTTCTTCTGGTAGGGTCCTGCTCTGTTCCGCAGGCTGCAGTGCAATGGCACAATCATGGTTCACTGTAGCCTCAACTGCGTAGGCTCAAGTGATCCCCCCACCTCAACTTCCCAAATAGCTGGGACTACTGGCACGTGCCACCACACCCAGCTAATTTTTGTATTTTTTTTGGTACAAATGGAGGTCTCACCATGTTGCCCAGACTGGTCTCCTGAGCTCAAGCAGTTCCCCGGCCTTGGACTCCCAAAGTGCTTGGGTTACAGGTGAGAGGCACCGACCCCGACCTTGGAGTGGATTTTGTAGGGACAAGTGAGGAGGATATGGATGGAGAGTGGGGTGGTTGTACCATTCAGGTAAGAAAAGAGGGTAGGAGAGGAAAAAGTGGGAAGGATCCGGGGCTGATGTGGTGTGGGGCAGGCTGTGTCAGCTGGGGTGTGGAGGGGCCTCAGAATTCCTCTAGGCCTCTGCTTGTGAATAAATCTTCCCTAGCTTCTCTACTGTCTTCCAGGAGAGCAAAGTCTCCCCTGGGTTGATTCATCACCAGGTCATTGGGGCCCTCAGCTGAGATAGGGGGGAGGTGAGAGCTGGCTGGGGGTGCCCTGCAAATCAGCCCTATGTGAGCAGGTGTTCTTAATCCTTGCCAAGACCAGGGACAGCTTGAGGGCCTCAGAGAGTGCTGGTGAGACACACACAAAGGCCCTTTGTTGCAGCCAAGGCAGATTCCTGGAGGGATGCCCCAGAGGCTGACCGCTCCCTGAAGGGGCTGGAGTAGGGGCATCCCAACACAGAACTGGTGGCTCCAGCACCAGGAAGAACCACTGTGTGCCAAGGTTGAATGTGGCTTCCGAAGCTCGAACTATAAGGAAGCAGCCAGAGAGGTGTGGCACCTGGGCAAGCCTCTGCCTAGGCGGTGTTTGCAGTGTCACGGTAAATCATCAATTGAGAGGTGGCTCTCAAAACAGTCCTGGTGACCACTTTTCTGACCACCCCTCACCCCTCAAGTGCCAGTGACTACACAGATGGGCCCTCTCTTACCCCAAGTCTCCTCACTGAAGGGGAACCCCTGGAGTGAGCCTGTGAGGTCTGCCTGTTCCCCAACATCTACAGAAAAACTCACAATAATTATATATTTAGCACACATTTCCTCCTCTGTGAGTTGGGGACATTAAGAGACCTTTCCTCCAGCATTAGGATTAAACCAGACAAAGCACTTAAAGCCTTCAGCACTGAGTCCTTGGTTCTGCACAGAAACCCCCAGGCCAGTTCTAAGACAGAGTTGTTAGGCACACCCTGGCAGGTTACACCAGGCCAAGTACCTCGCAGGGCGGGGGAATCCAGAGGTGGGCAGGACTGGTAGCATTTTGATGGGCCCCGCCTTCTCTTCCCTCCTCCCTTGGCCAGAGACAGGCAGGAGGGCCCCAGGCAGCAGTTCTTCCCACCCTCTGCCCCTTAGTCTTGCACGCCTCTAGGGCCGGGACGCTTATTCTTCCTCCTAGCAGCTCTGCCTGGAAGTCCCCCAATCCCTGTGCTACTGTTCCCAGATCTTGGGCTTGGGGGACAGCAAGAAAGCTGCTACAAAGAACTCAGCTGGGGCAGCTCCACAAGGACCCTACAGGCTTGAGGCATTGCCGGGATTCTATCCTAGCCAGCCAGGCTCCTGGGTGCCCCAGAACCCTCTGGAGCACAGGGAGGCAGAGGGGTCCTTACCCATTTCAGGAGTCTACAGCCTGAAGGCTACAGCCATGGTGGGCCCCCGATACCCGGTCTCAGTTCGAGGGGCAGCTCTGGTGCAGATCAAGAGGCTCCAGGTAAGACCTGGGTGCGTCTCTAGTGGCCCTAAGGCATAGGAAGGGGGTGCCTCGATCAGCATCTCCAAGGCACCCACAACTTTACGTCCCCTAGACGTTTGCCTTGTCCGTGTGCTGGTCAGATGGCAGTGACACCTTTGTGCGCAGGAGCTGGGAGGAATTCAGGCAGCTCAAGGTGAGTGACCCTGGGCCACCCTACTACCATGGTTAAGGATTCCCCACCTGGGTGACTACCAGTGTAAGACCTGTCAGTGACTCTAACTGGAGGCCCTTCATCCTGCCTGAGGCTCCCAGCCCTTGTCATCAGGGTGAGGAACCCCACCCTCCTAAGGGTGCATAGTGGGCTCTGGGAGACTGATGCCCCTCTTCCTGCCCTCAGAAGACTCTCAAGGAGACCTTTCCAGTGGAGGCGGGTCTGCTTCGGAAATCCGACCGCATTCTCCCAAAGCTTCTCGGTCAGGCCAGCCTGGGTCTGGGGGCAGGGAAGGCAGTGGCTTGCTGGGGGTGGGGGGTGTGGCTCAAGGGACCAGTGAAGCCCGAAGCGGGGTCTCACAGTACATTTTGGTGGTGTCCTTAGATGCACCGCTATTGGCACGCGGGGGGCGCACGAGCCGCGGTCTGGCACGCCTGCAGCTGCTGGAAACCTATTCTCGGAGGCTGCTGGCTACTGCAGAGCATGTGGCTCAGAGCCCGGCAATCACAGGCTTCTTCGCACCGCAACCCCTGGACCTGGAGCCCGCGCTGCCACCTGGCAGGTGCCTGACTCGACCCCCAACTCCCAGCCTGCAGCAGCGTTTGGAGCTGGGGGGAGGTCCAAGGTGGGGGTTACAGCCAGTGAAGAGGAGCAGAGACTGGGAGGCTGGCAGTCTTGCTGGGGTGGCATGGCATGCCTAGTTTCACCCTGGAATCTGCCTACCTCTCACCCGTGCGGGCTGCCCTTCCCAGCCGAGTGATCCTGCCCACCCCGGTGGAGCCACCTCTCTCCCATGCTGCCAGCCGCCTCTCCATCCACAGTCTGGAGGCTCAAAGCCTGCGCTGCCTGCAGCCCTTCTGCACTCAGGACACACGGGGCCGGCCTTTCCAGGTGCAGGCCCAGGAGAGCCTGGATGTGCTCCTGCGGCACCCCTCCGGTAGGGCCCACCAGGAACCCAGGGATTTGCCTCTGTCCCTGGATGCCAGGGAGCCTCAAGATCTGAGTCCCCACCCGCCTCTTGTGCACAGGCTGGTGGCTGGTGGAGAACCAGGACCAGCAGACAGCTTGGTTTCCAGCACCCTACCTGGAGGAGGTGGCTGTGGGCCAGGGCTGGGAAGGAGGCCCGTCCCTAGGGAGCAGCGGTATGCACCTAACCCCCACTGCTCATGCCATCATTACAGCTGGACCATGTGGCAAAATGGGCCAGAAGCACTGTGGGAAGGGCGGCTTGATGGGGCCCAGGAGCCCGTGCTTGGTCACTGAACCTAGAGCAAGTCCCGAACCAGTTTTAGGGCAGTCCCGGCGTCAGCAGAGACTCAAGCCAGGGGAATCCAGAGAAGGGTGAGGGCCCTGGCCTCTGCGGCCCCACGGTGACCCCAAACATACACCCCCAGGTCCCCAGTTCTGTGCTTCCTGCGCCTATGAGGGCAGCCGTGCAGATGAGCTGTCTGTGCCTGCAGGCGCGCGCGTGCACGTGCTGAAAACGTCAGATCGCGGCTGGTGGCTCTGCAGGTGAGCAGGAATGGGCATGGGTGGGGCAGCCTAGCCGAGGCAGGCGGGGCCTTAACCACATCCCCCCACCCCTGGCAGGTATGGTGACCGGGCGGGCCTCCTCCCTGCGGTGGTACTGCGGCCTGAAGGGCTGGGTGCCCTCCTGAGTGGGACGGTGTTTCGCGAAGGAGACTCAGCAGATGAGGCCCAGGGCTCCCCCAAACCCTCCCAGGCCACTGCCCCTGCCCCCACCGTCCCCGCCCGACCTTCGCCGGGCGCCATCCAGAACCGCTGCTGCACCATCACCCGCAGGGCCCTGGAGCGGCACCCAGGGCGCCAGCGCCCCTCTGGAGGGTGTGTGGACCCTGTGCCACACGCTACAACAGAGCGGTGAGCGCGAGGATCCCCATGGGGGGACAGACTGTGCCATCCCAGGGCTGGGGAGGAGTGTGGAGGACGGATCTCCCTGGCCACAGGGATGGGAGGGGCAATTCACTGTTCCTCTGAGTAAAGCTTGTTCTGAATGACCCCTGCCGTCTCAGCCTGCTCAGTCTCAGCCTGGTCAGCTGGGTCTCTGCCAGGCCAGGGTGGGGGGATGGGCTAGAAGGGCGGAGACGATCGGCTCCAGTGCCCCTTTGGGTGGCTAGGTAGGGTGTTGGTCAGGATGGGGTCTGGGCTGGAGCCCAAAGAGACCAAGCTGGCTAGGTGAGCGCGCCTTTATGGGTTCCCTAGGGGGTTGGGATGGACTGGAGAGAGGCAGCCGGCTAGGAGAGGGTGCCTTTATGGGTTTCCCAGGGCGTGGGGGCGGTGGCCAGCACAGGCAGCTTCATGTTGTGCCAAAGGAAGTCCAAGAAGGTGGCGGCCTGGAGTGTCCGGCTGAGCCGCTGAAAGTGCCGCTCTGGGGAGGACAGAGGGAGGTCGGGGGGTATCCACACCCGCCCCAGGATTTCCCCAAACCCAGGCTGTGCCTGCGTACCAGTGTAGGGCAGCAGGGCCTCAACTGCTGCACGGACGCCTTCATAGGCCAGCAGCTCCTCGGGGGCCTCATGCCGCAGGAGCACACCCAGCACGGCCTGGGCCTCGTGGCAGTTGCGCGAGTTGGTGTTCCACGTGACGCAGAAGCGCAGCAGGGCCTCTGTGGGCAACAGGACCATCATCCTCTTGCCCGGTCAATCCGCCATGGCTGGCCCCTGCCCACCGGGCCACCCACCCTGACCGGCCCCCAACCTTTCTGGTCTCGCCTCAGTCGGAGCACGGTGGCTTCCAGCTTCTCACAGGCCTCAGGGTCCCTCCGAATGGCTGTGGGAGTAGGGAAGGCTGAGCTGGGGAAAGCAGAGCCCAATGGTCCAGAGACCCGGCTCCTCACCCCCAGGGGTGGGCCCTAACCCTGGATGACGGTCAGCACAGTGTGGGGCCGATCTAGGGAGATGGCCAGGCCCAGCGCTCGCAGGTACCGCTTCTCATGCAGCAGGTTGTCCAGCTCTTGTTGCCTGCCAGGAGGGGAGGAGAGGCCACTGAAGGTCGCTGGCTGGGGCTGCAGGCAGAGCTATTGGAGTCAGCAGGTGGTGAGCCTGGTGCTCAGCCTCAGTTTCCCTACAGCACAGAGCAGGGGCACCACTGTCCTGGCCTTACCTGACCACCTGCTCCTCCTGCCTGGCCTGCTCCTCTGCCTGCTCTGCCTCGGTCACATCCTGGGGTGAGACTGGGGTCAGATGGAGGCCCCCATGCCACCCCGCCTCCTCCCCACCCTCAGGCCCACAACCTTCCAGAGAATGACTCGGGAGTCGCTGGCGCCAGTGAGGGCGCGGTCATCCAGCCGGCTACAGTGCAGCCCCCAGACCTTATCATCATGGGCATCCAGCGTCCGCACACACTCGTTGTTCTTGATGGTCCAGAGCTTCACGAGGCCATCTGAGCCGCTGGGTTTGGGGTGGGGAAAGGCTCAGCATCAGGCAGCTCCCCCACCTGGCCCCATCGCTGCCCCGTCCCAGCCCACTCACCTGGACAGCAGCTGTGTGCCCCGGCTCACAAAGGCCACCTTCAGCACGGAAGCATCGTGCCCCTCAAATGTCTGCAAGGTTGAGGTAGGGCATGAGATGTCACCAGGGTGGGAGGCGTGGAGGGCCTGGAGCACTGCTTACCTTGAGACAGCTGAAGTCCTGGAGCGCCCAGAGCTTGATAGTGCCGTCAGCTGAGGCTGTGGCCAGCACCTGGTCCATGGGAGAGAACTGGACACACCAGAGGCCACGCCGGTGGCCTGAGAAGACACCCAGCAGCTGGCACTGTGGCAGGGCCCAGAGCTTGGCCATGCGGTCTTGTGAGCCCGTGGCCAGCAGCTTGTCATTGGGGGCAACAGCCACGCTGTTGATATCCTGGCAATGGAAGCAGGTGGTGGCTCAGCATCCCCATCCCCCTGCCAGCAAGGGCTAGGCCACACCCCCACCCCAGTGGCTACGGATTCACCTTATCGTGGCAGCGCTGAGTGGTCTGGGCCTGCAGGAGGACAGGGCCGCTGTCTGGGGCTGTGTTCTTAGACAGCAGGGCTCTGGGAAGGGGCCACAGCTTCACAGTGCAGTCCTGGCTGCCCGTCACCAGGAAGGACTCCTTCAGCCTGTGGCCCAAACAGGGGAGGGAGGAGACACAGCTAAGCCCCTGCCAGCCTTGATGGACAGCTCCCAACAGGGCCAGCCTGGGAGCACCCGGCTCAGACCGTGGGGCCTGTCCCAGGATGCAGATTGCCCTTGGTCACCTCTAGGCACCTGAAGGACCAAGCCCTGCCTACACTGTCCACCTGCAGCACCTGGTGACTCAGCTCCAAACACATGACCCGAGCCCCACATGCAGGGGTCCCCTCTCCACCTGGGCCTGATGCAGACTCCCTCTCTCCGCCCCAGTGCTCTTCCCCCTTTAACCACTTTCCCAGGGATACTTCTGAGGACTGCCCCCAAGGCACCTAGGGACTCCCCCAATCCTGTTCTGTTCCACACGTCTGGGCTGGAGCCTCAAAGATCAAGCCAGCACTGCGGCCGCCTCCCCAGATCCCTGAGCGGCAGCCCCTGCTGGCAGGCCTGGGCATCCCTCTCCCTGACACTCTGGGCCCAGCCCTGACTCACTCACTACCTAGAGCAGCAGATGGTGCCGACACTGTGCGTATGGCCGGAACCCTGAGCCACGCAGACCACCTGGCCAGCCTTGTTCATCCTCCAGATTCGGACACTCTGATCCTGGGGATGGGGAGGAGAGGAGAGTGGCTGGTCTGTGGGCCTACCGTGTGGCCTCCCCGCCTAGTGCCCCTTCTCCTACCTCTCAGAGCACCTCACCTTGGCACAGCTGGCAAAAAGCCACCCCTTCCGGAACACGTCCAGAGCCAAAACGATATCTGAAAACATGTTGGGGGGAGGTAGAGAGCAAGATAGGGGAAGGGAAGCCAGCAAGGGACCCAGGTGGGTCTCAGGGTGTCAGGTGGGCTGGCCCCACTCACCCGTGTGGCCATGGAGGATCTGGCAGGCTGATGTCTGCAGCTCAAACACTTTCAGGCAGGGGCTATTGGAGGCCACGATGATATGGGAGTCCTCAGGCCCAAGAAACCGGACATCCAGGACCTCCTCACTATAGCCAGCGAACTATACAGGGGCAGGAGGCAGGAGATGTGAGCCAGGACCCAGCAAGAGGAGGACTGGCACCCACAGCCCCTCTGCAGGCTAAGCAGGGGCAGATGTGCACCTGTTTCTGCAGCCGCAGGGAGCGAGCCTCGTAGAGCAGCAGGTTGTGGTCGGCAGTGGCGCTGAGGAGCAGGCCGGCGGTGCGGGCCAGGGTGCAGTGGGTAAGCTCCCGCCCAGGGCCTGGTGGCCGGGCCTGCGTGTACACACACTGCCCAGAAGCTGCCTCCCACACGCGCAGAGTACCTGGGTGGGTGGGGACAGGCTGTGAGACTCTAAGGTTCACAGGCCTTCCCCAGCCCCTACCACCTGCCTGCGGCCCAGCCCCACGCACCTTGGTCGCCAGCTGTCAGGAAGTGCAGGCCTGGGGACTTCACACCCAGCTCAGATGCCGGCTCTTCTGGCAACAGCACAGCAGTCTCCACGCTCTGGAGACAAACTGGGTCACGGGCTGCTGACACCCGCCCTCCAACCCAACTCACCAGGCCTGGCCTTCAAGCGTCCCTACCTCAAACACCGGCACAGTCCTCGTGGCCTGGTGGCTCTGAAGGTCCCAGATGATACAGATCTTGTCACGGCCGGAGCTGGGGGAGCAACAGCTACCTGAAGTCAAGTTTTAGCCTTGGTCCCCGGTTTCCCAGCCTCCCTGCCTACCAGGGCATGC